GAAAGGATAATGAATTTTTTTTTAAAAAAAAAAGCTATGATTCCTGCCCTTAGAGGATTTATAGGCATGCAGTAATCACATCACTGCCCAAGTAAATAACCACAGACTTTTATAATGCAATGGCTTTAACAAGGGATCAGGAGATGACACATCAAAGATCTAATCTGTTATTTAGGACAGATGGGCATTCTTTATTGGAAGAGAAAACTAAGGCCCAGTACAGGGTAGGCACACCTACTACAATATAGTGAGTCAGGACTGCACTACTCAATCTCTGAATAGAAAACCTGGGTTGACCAGATGGCTGGTTCCACCAGCACATACTTTCCCAAACATTCTTCCTTCTACCACCAAGGCTAATCCCCCAAGAAAATTAGTTTTGATGGGCAGCTCTGACATTTGAGGACCCAAAGTCTCCATACCCCATCACAGGTAAATCCAGTCAGGTTGGTGGGACCTGCTGGTCAGAACCATATGACCAAAAAGTGGGAGAGAACTGCCAACTGCCAGGCCAGGAGAGACAACAGAACAGGAAGAGCTGGGCCAGCGAAGCAGCATCCACCAGTACAGAAAGGGATAAAGCTCAAGTGCAGGCACCCGGAGGAAGACAGAGAGGGAGGCAGAAAGATGCTCTAATGCCAGGAAGTGACGTTTAGGGAAAGAGGTCATAGGGATGCAGGATAAAGAATGGAGGGGAGTATAGAGCTGGGCCACATGGATAGGAGAGAGAGCACTAGGGAAGGAATACTAAGAGAGCTCTTGGCCCCCAGCTCTCTCTCAAGTCCTGCCTCCCTCCCCCACCCCCATCTCCTTCAGTTTCTGCAGAGGGTTGAGAACACAGTAAAATTTGGAGACTGCTTTCTGGGGAAAAAATCTTGTTGCTGACCAGACGCTCCTACCAACCCAGCTAACATCCGGGCCAGACCCACATCTCTGGAAGGGGTAGAGTAATCCACAGAACATCAAAGGCACTGTAGTCCCCAAGGACTTTGAGAGGTCATGCAGTCCATCCCCTTGTCTCCCAGTATCCCAAATTCTCAGACAGAAGGAAATCATATTTTCTTTACTCATCTCTGGACATGAAGAGATGGATTCTCAGCTCTTCTCGGGACTCAGTGCTTCCCATAATCCCTAGCTGTGGTGAAGTTCTCCTTAAGATCTAGACTCCATCCCCTCCTGCTGCAGCCTATGACTTGGTGTCTAATATCCTGTCCTCTGTCACTAAAGAGAAGCCTTTCCTAGGTGACCACAGCCGTTCTTTATAGGCTCTCCCCTCCAGCAGTCCTTCCTTCTCAATAGGTTCTTCCTAACAGGTAATCATAATCCTTCCTACCGCAATCCTTGCATCCTCTCCCGTGTCGCATCCTACGCCTCTAAGGCAAAAATACCCTTTTCCCCACCACACAGTTAACAGAGCTGAGGGAGAAGGGGAGAGGTCCAGGATGAAAGGATGGATGGAGGAGATGGGAGTCTGGAAGAGGATGCCCGGAACAGATGAAGGAGGACCGGGACCCCCCAAGGTGGGGCAGGGATGGGGCCAGAGGGCCTCACCGGTATCCGGGTCTCCCAGGAAGGCGTCCTCGTCCTTGCGGCCCCTCAGCGGGGCCGCAGGCGCTGGCTCGTCCTCGGGCAGCCGCGGGAAGCTGGTGATGCTCATGTAGTCCACTGGCGAGTAAGCGCCTAGGGCACTCTCCTGGCTAGCCTCGTTCTCTGCCGCCATCCTCGCCCTAACCCCCAGCAGCGCAGCGCCTGCCGGAAGTGGCTATGGAGGGGGGGGTGTGCGAGGGCGGAGGGCGGGGTCTGAGCTCCTGGACAGCCGGGAGGGGGCGCCCCCACCCTCAGCAGTGTCCTGGTCTGACTCGCCCCCGCCTCCTTCAAGTCTAGTGCTAGCAGCCTGCACACTGGTGCAGGAGGATGGGAGCGGGGAGGGCAGTGGAAGGTTGCCAGGAAGAGGACGCTGCTCTGGGCCCCTCGTGCAGTCCTGGTCTTTCCTCCTTCCAGTCTGAATCCCGCTCAGAGCCCATACGCTCCGAGGACCGCAGACTGACTTCTGATCGCAAACTCCACTTTGACTCCAGGTCTTTTGTCTGGACCACTCTCTTGGACCCAAACCTCTCTGTGGGCACCAAGATCTCCTCCTCTGATCTCATGCTACCCCTCTGACCCATCTCCGACCACTCACCCCAGACTTCTTCACCTCACCCCTAGATTCCTTTTAAAACGCCAACACCTACTTAATCCCGACTGCTTTTTCGTCTGCAGACCCCTCTTGAGCCCCTCTTTAGTCTAGCATCCTTTTCTGCGCTCTAATCTTTCTCCCACTTCTCTTTTAAACCCCAACTCCTTCTAGAACCATCCTGATGTGTCCGCATGGGAGAATGTCCCTTACTGTCCCCCAGTCCAACTTCAGGATCTTTAGAAGCAAACCCTCGGATTCCACTCCAGGAAACTAATTCGGTAGGCCAGAACACGATCTTTGGAACCTTAATATTCTTCTGTATTTTAAGAGTTCTTGATATGGTTCTGGAACTAAGGTAAAAGAAGTCATGACGGTGTGGGAGAGGAGGAGAGGGGAAGGAGGGGAAGGATAAAGGTGTCAGAACAGGGCCTTAGGGAGCAGCTATTTGGTAGAATGCTTGTCTGTGTGAAGGTTTAACCTCCAGCATTAGGAAAGAAAGAAAAAGAAAAGAAACGTAAGAATGAGAACACATTTCTGTGCCTAGGTGCCTGCCAAGTCCATCTCTAGAACTGTTACCCTAGCTCCTAGAATGAAAGTTATAAGTCCAAACTTCTACTGTTCAGCCCACAGGCAGAGAGATAGGGATGGTGAAGCTGTGGATAGACACAATATCCCTTCCTTTCATAATCCCTGGCTCCAGGCTCAGTGTGACTTGAACCATTTTAGCGGTTACTGGGGACACAAGGAGCCGCGGTACCACTTATGGACAGCAGGGGGCAGCAGTAGCTAGCGAACAGCTGCAGGAAGAGCTGTTAAGGGGAGGTGGGAGTAAGATGATGGTCTTCATACCTATAGGCAAAATTATATGTGCCTTCTTCCCCACAGAGAGGTCCTTATCTTACTAGTGATGTCTGTGGGGATCATTGTTTCCATGATCTCCTAGTCCCACCAGTGAGTTTGTCCCCACTAAATGAGGTCTGTGTCTGCTGAGCCTTGTCCACAAACTCCTTCAGTTTATGTGAATGCTCCTCAGTGAGGATTGAGCCCTCTCACCAGGGTTAGGGAAGTCTGCATCTCCTGGAAGGAAATCTGCGTTTCCTAGTCTGTTAATGCCATCCATGTCCGATAAGCAGAGGCAGAGCTCTTCCATGGGATCTGAGAGTTCCAGAAAAACCTGTGCCTCCTATAACACAGTTCGTGCAATTTCAACTAAGTGTCTGTCGATTCAGAGGAGTTGACGTGTTCCCTCTCTGAGATCTGTGTCTATTCTACAAGGTCTGTAAAAGCTTAGTGGGGCCCCAAGATCCTCCCTCTGGGATCAGGTAGGGTCTGGGTCATATGTCTGAGCACGAGGGGATTTTCAAGATCCTCCCTCCAGGATCAGGTAGGGTCTGGGTCATATATCTGAGCACGAGGGGATTTTTTTTCAGCTTAAGGTGTGATAAGCTTATGGTCAGTTGGACAAAGATGGGGTAGCAGGTGGGTAGATGAGTCACAAGCCCCGAATAGGGATCAAAAGGCAGGAGCTGCCTGCTTCTGACATCAGACTCACTCTAGTAGTTAGGCATTTAAAGATCCTTGTCATGACAGCCAGTCTGTTAGATGAGGTGGCCCCTTCGTGGTGATAACTGTAGGTAGGAGCTGGAGGGTGTCCTACTAGACTTCCTTCTGGGTTAAGAGGATAGCGGGAAGCCAGAGGTAAGTAAACTCAGTTTTTGGCAGATGGGAGTATACTTGGGTGAATTAAAGAATGCAAATGATTCCTTTTATATTTTTATTATTTTATTTTGCATAGACCTTGGTATCTTACAAGATCTAGCTTCTGTTTGCTCCTTGGTTTTGTGAAATTTCCTTTCCTTTCTTCCTTTTCTCTTTCCTTTCTTTATTTCTTTTTTTGTCGTTTTTCTAGATAGAGTTTCTTTGTGTAGCCCTGGCTGTCCCGGAACTCAGTGTGTAGACCAGGCTGGCCTAGAACTCAGAGATCCACCTGCCTCTGCTTCATGCATGCACCAACACGTGCAGGTCCTTTCTGTTCCTGATTTTGTGCAAAGAGAACTTGTGCTTTTGGCAAAGACCTGAAGGATCCTCCTGGTTTTCACTCAGAGTCTTGTACTGTAGATCAGGGCAGAGATTTACGGAAGCGAAGAAAATGACAACATCATGTCCTCGGAGGTGGGAGAGAATCAGAATGACCCGAGTTGGAAGGAAGGGTCATATTCGGGAGCTGTGCCCCCAAGGTCGCGGAGGAATTGTTCCATGAGAACGGAGTAGGGGTGTTGCTCGGCGGGAGACTTGGAGGAGTGTCGCCCAGAAGGAACTGTACTCCACTCGGTTATCCAGCTCGGTGGAGTGACAGAATTGTGCAATCAGACCACGGTGAGAGCACAACGGATGACCCAACGCCTCCCGTTGGCCGGCCATTTCAGGCTGCACGGCGCCAAAACCCAACCCCCATCCGTCACTCCAAGACCCTAACTTGGTCACTCCACAGCCCTGCCTCCTCTCCTGTCACTTCCAGCCGGCAACACCCCATCACTCCACGACCCGCCTCCTCGCCTGTCACTTCTGGCCCCGCCCCTCCCCTGTCATTTCCAAAGCCCCACCCCTCTTCTGTCATTCCCAGACCATTCCTTCGACTTTCACACTACGGCCACACCCCTTCCGGCAAGTCAGCTCCGCCCCTACCCCTGCTTTTCCCCCCCGCGGTTTCTGTTGACCCCGCCCCTTCACGCACGGCCCTACCTGCTATTGGATGCTAGAAGCACGGCCTCTCGCCTCAGGCTCCGCCCCTGCCCGAGGCCCCGCCTCTAGGGTCGACCTGTTTTTCCCCGCCCCGGCACCCGCAGCGACCGCGGCGGCGGCCAAGGTGCTCAGAACTTGGCGCGATGGGGCTTCCCGAGGAGCGGCGCAAGAGCGGCGGCGAGAGCCGGGCCCGGGAGGAGACCGGCGCCGAGGGCCGGGTGCGGGGTTGGTCCCCGCCGCCCGAGCTCAGACGCTCGGCACACGTCTCCTCTCTGCAGCGCTACCGCGAGCTGCACCGGCGTTCCGTGGAGGAGCCGCGGGGTGAGGCTGGGCCCGGGCGACTCTTGGGGGCGCCAGTGAGCAGAGGAGCCGGGCTCCCAGGGGCATTTACCGAGCTCCCTCGGGGAGGAGATGGAGGGCCCCCGAGGGAGATGGAAAAAGGGGTCCGAAGGAGATGGCGTTCCATGAGAAGAAGGAGGGATCTGCGAAGTGAGAGTTCCGAGAGGTTGGGGGACTCTCTGGAGACTTGGCGGTTTTGTGAGATGTGTGTTTTCACAAGGAGATGCGGGTTCTGTGGGGAGAAGCGGGGCTCGGTGAGGGGAGAACTCCTTGGGGAGACTGGAAAAGGGGTTTCCGTGAGGAGAAAGTTCCATGAGAAAGAGTCCCTGAGGTAAAAGAAGGGCCCCAGGGGCTGGAGAGCTGGCTCAGCGGTTAAGAGCACTGGCTGCTCTTCCAGAGGACCCGGGTTCAATTCCCAGCACCCACAATGGCAGCTCACAACTGTCTCTAACTCCAGTTCCCTGGGATCTGACATCTTCACACCAATGCACATTAAATAAAAAGTAAAAAAGGGGGGGGGGTCCAAGGAGCAAGGGTGAGCCTTGAGGGAAGGAGAGCCCAGAAGAGAGGGAACCTTCTTTGCCTCCAATTCAACAGTTGCCTTCCTCAGAATCGAGTGCACTCATCTCACTTTGCTCAGCGGCAATGACAAGTCTGGCTCCCATCTTAGGGTCTTGCATCTATTTAATATAGTGGCAATCCCAATATACGATTGAGCAAGTTGTTATTATGTCAAGTTGGTTTTTTTTTTTTAAATAAATTTGGACCTAATTGTAGTAACTCAGGTTCTAAGATGATTCTGTCTTTAAAAACGTGCCAGGACAGTTTAGGGGGCAAAACCACATCCTGGCCAGGCCTGCTGGCACACACCTTTAATTTCAAGCACTGAAGAGGAAGCGGCAGGTCTTTGTAAATTCAAGGCCAGCCTGGTGTGCATAGGTAGTTCCAGGTAGTTCCACAACAACCAAGGCTACATAGTGAGACCCTGCCAAAAAAGAAAACCAACGATAAAACACCACCTCCACATCCTGGTTGAGAGGCCACATGATGTTTGGTAACAGGATAAACACAAGCCACGAATCACACTCAGAAAAATGCATAAAAAGCTTTGCTTGCAATCTTAGACAGATTAAAAAAAAAAAACCTATCTTAAATTTACTCATCTCCAAGATAGGGATAATAATACTAGCTTCATAGATTATGAGGACTAAAGTGGGTAATAAAGGATCCATTATCGAACGTCTGATGCCCAGTAGCCATTAAATAAGTAATGATTTGTTTAATAACAACAATGTGAGTGAGGCAGATACTAAGCAATGCAAAATAGTATTGAATGGAGTGTGAAGTTGTTCATTGCTACCAGTAGTGTCCAACTTTGGGTCCTGAAGTCTGGGTGTCTTTTCCCTTCTCTTTCTGTATTTTCTTCCATCATGAGTTACATCTGTTTCCCTGGGGTAAGCTCGTACTACCACAGTAATTCCTATTCTGCATATCTACCTCATATCTTGTATTTCACTTATATTCAGTCTCCAAATTTCATAGGACTATAGACCATTTGTGTTTCACACACCCTGATGATGTTATACTGAACTAAACGAGACTGTGCGTTTTCTCTCCCAAACTTGCTTTCTTCCCTAATTATCTTTTTCTTTCTTTCTCTTTTGCCCTAATCTTCTATTTTCTGCTGGTGTCAGTGCCACTACCCCAAACTACAAACCTCTTCCATCATCATCTTCTCTGATATTTTTATACCTTATGAATTTATAGAACACTTATTGTTTACTGAGCAGTATTTCAGTTTGATTTGATCTGAGTACAAACCACATTTTACAGAGGAAGAAATAGGAGCTTAGAGAGACCAATTCATTTACACAATGTCATAAAGCAAGTCATTGATGGAGTTAGGATTTAAACTAACATGATCTTAACTAGAGAACCAATACTCTGAACATTACGCTGTTCTCTGACTCTACAGTTTGCTTTTCGCCAAATTTTGTCAAATACTACTAAAATATCTCTTAGATTGATCCTTTTTTCCCCCATTTCCATGGACATTTTAAGTCTGGAAAGCAGGAAGCCGTTTCCTAATTTGTCCCTTTCTCCCTAGTCTTAATACCATCAGTTGCTCCAGCAAACTTATCTAGACACCATTAGGCTGATATTCTGGGAACGCTGCCATTGTAAAGAATGACTTTCTTTCTCTTTCCTTCGTTCTCTCCTCTCCTTCCTCTCCTCTCCTTCCTTCCTTCCTTCCTTCCTTCCTTCCTTCCTTCCTTCCTTCCTTCCTTCCTTCCTTCCTTCCTTTCTTTTCTGTTAGGGTCTTGGTGTATAGTCCTGGCTGGCTTACAACTCACTATGTAAATATAGACAAGACTTGCCTCTCCTCTGCCTCCTGAATGCTACAATTATAGGTAGGTGCTACCATGCTGGGCTTTTTAAAATGGTTCCCCTAAATTAAGATTCTGATTTTCTTTCAGAGCCTCTGGGTAATCTAGCCTTGCCTCTTGAATCTTATCTCTACTATTCTCTGTTACATCTTCATATTAGATAGATCTTCTTGATATTCTGGATACCCAAAAGTCCCTTTCTATGTCTTTGGTTTTGCCCATTCCCTTCTGTGCCTATTCACTATAAAATTAGGATAATATGTATACTTCATAAGTTTATATTACAGCAATTAAATTAAATTGGGCCAGTCCTATCTTCTGTCTTTACAGTTTTGTATATTCACTAAATGTCAGTTTCCATTTGCTTTTTGAAAAAAATGGCCATTCAGTATTTTATTATATTACAATTTATGTTACTAGTTTTCACCAGTTTTTAATTGTTGGGATTTTGAGTTTGTTTTAAGGTGTGTGTGTAGATCAGAGGACAACCTTGGGTGTCACAGCAAGCCCCAGAATTCCACCTGTCTCTGCCCTCAAAGTACTAGAATGACACATGAGTGCACTCTGCCAGATCCTCATGCTTGTGTGGCAAGCACTTTATGAATTGAGCTATTTCTCCAGCCCTGGTTTTATTATTTATGAAATTTTTTATAGTCAGGGTTTCAAATAGCACAGGCTGGCCTCAAATTTCCTGTTAGCTGAGGCTTGCCTTGAACTCCTGATTCTCCGGCTCTACCTTCCAAGTGCTAGGATTACAGGCCCCATCACTGTACCCTTCTCTAGTTTCACCTTTGTAGTGTTGTAATAAAAACCTTCTTAGTAATGCCTTATTGCCTTCTTTTGGGTTATTTTCTTGGAATATATTTGCAAAATTGAGTTAGCAAATAAAGGTTCTAAAAAGTTTTATAACTCTTGCCAGACATTCCCTTTTTTTATTTAAGAAACTTTTTTTATTCATTTTACATACCAACCACAGATCGCCCTCTCTTCCCTCCTCCCGCTCTGCCCCCTAGCTTTTCCCTCCCACCCCCACCCCTATTCCCTCCTCCAAAAGGGTAAGGACTCTCAAGGGGAGTCAGCAAAGCCTGGTACATTGAGTTAAGACAGGACCAAGCCCCTCCCTGCTGCAACAAGGCTGAGCAAGGCATTCCACCATAGGTAATGGACTCCAGAAAGCCAGCTCATGTACCAGGGATAGATCCTGATTCCACTGCCAGGAGCCCCTCAAACAGACCATGCTACACAACTGTCTCCCATATGCAGAGGGCCTAGTCTAGTCCCATGCAGGTTCCACAGCTGGCCAGACATTTCTTACAGTGCTGTTATTGTATAAAATTATCTGATTGCCTAG